TCAGAATAATTTTTCTGTTGGGTTATCAAAAACAAGAATAAAGCTCGACAAAAAATACTTAGGTTAATAACTCATTTTTCTCAAAGCACAATCAGCTGCCTTCAGAGCTCTGTTGGAAGAGAGAATCACACTGAAGAGTCTGGTGTGAAAAAACAAGAGGCCGAGGATAATTCATCTGTGTTGTTTTTTTCTGCTGGCTGAATGAACTGAGAAAGAGATGAAGAAAAGGAGACTGAATTTTTCGATTAAATACTTGTGCTATGTTACTTTAGTAAAAAAAAAATGTAGGGAAATAGACAGACGGTACCTAACTTTGTCTCTCCTGGGCGATTTTTCAATCTTTACTCAGGTGCATCAGTTGGGCTGTGAAGCGGTTACGTTGCTGCTGGAGCTGAACCCTGACCAGAGCAACCTGATGTACTGGGCCGTGGATCGATGTTACACGGGTTCCAAGAGGGTGGCAGCCGGCTGCTTTAAAGCTATAGCTAATGTATTCCAGAACAGGTACTCTGGATACTGTCTTTTATGTTTTAGGGAGGTGTTTTCTTTTTATGCTTTTGTTTTTGTTTTTAAGAAAGGTTTTCCTGTTGAATTCAGAAATCCTAAGAAACTGGAATAGTTAGCCCTGCATATCCTGGGAGATTGGTTCAAGGAAGCCCCCAGATACCCAAATCCACGGATGCTCCAGTTCCTTATATAAAATGGCGTAGCACTTGCATCTCTCCTGTGCACATCCTCCCATGTACTTTAAATACCTCTAGATTACTTTTAATACCTAATACTATGCAAATGCCCTGTAAATAGTTGTTATACTACATTTAGGGAGTAATGACAAGGAAAAAAAAAGTCTGTATATGTTCAGTACAGATGCAGGTTGTTTTTGTTTTTTATTTTTAGAGACAGGGTCTCTCTTGATTGCCTAAGGCTAGAGGACAGTGGTGTCATCATAGCTCACTGCAACCTCAAACTCCTGGGTTCAAGCAGTCATCCTGCCTCAGCCTCCTGAGTAGCTGGGACTGTAGGCGCATGTCACCATGCCCGGATGATTTTTCTACTTTTTGGAGAGATGGATTCTCGCTATGTTGCTCAGGCTGGTTTCAAACTCCTGGCCTCAAGTGATCCTCCAGCCTCGGCCTCCCAAAGTGCTAGGATTACAGGCAGGAGCACCTGGCCCACATGCAGTTTTTTTTCCAAATATTTTCTATCCGTGATTGGTTGGATCTGTGGATGTAGAATCCATAGATTCAGAAGGTCGACTGTATTTACTTTCCTTAAGCTCTAATGGAATTTAACCAAAATAAGAGTAATGATCACCATGCATCTGTTGTACCTGTTGCCTTAAATAAAAAGTCACCTAATAGACTTAGAAGATACTAAGTCATGCTAATACATGCCTAGAGCCCTGCCCTTTGCCTATCATGTCTATTAACTGGTGTAAAAGCCTCTAAACATTTTAATTTACCTAACATGTAAAATTTATTCATAGGGATTATCAGTGTGACACAGTGATGCTCCTAAATCTGATACTGTTTAAAGCAGCTGATTCATCTAGAAGCATCTATGAAGTTGCCATGCAACTTTTACAGGTTTGTAAACAGATGTTAATTAAAATATTTTTTACTCAGGATTTAATGAAACCCAATAATTTATTCTTGCCATTAAAACATACTAGTATTAATATTTAGCTTTATTTTGAATAGTGAAGTTATGATACCAAGTCTTGGTTATTATTAGAAATAAAAGGCAAAGATAATATAGATATTTAAATCTATGAATAATACAAACCATTCAGAATTGTACTGTATGGAAGGATTATGTATATTAATATGTGTGTGTGTGTATATGAAGGTAGTTATAAATATTGGTTAGTGCCTATGTGTTGTGCATGTAAGTATTCAGCAGATGAGAATAATGCCAGTCAAAATATTTTTGAGAACTATTTAATATATGAAAGTAATTAGCTCTTTTATGATATCCTCATATAACTTTATTAGATCTAGGAGAAATAGCTTAGAAAGTTAATTTACCAAGCAGGGATACATTTTCAAATAATTGTGTATTAAGTTGCTGAAGTTATTTTCAGGCTATGTTACTAACCTGATCGTTGCTGTTAAACACAAGGAATATAAATCCTCTTAAACAGTTACAGAGTCTTTTGCAAACATTTCCTGAGATTAGTAATTAATATGTGAAATACTTGGTAATATACATAACAATATAATTTTTAAACTGCAGTGTTTTGGGAGAGATGTTGTTTTGTCTTTATAGCTAAACTTGATAGGACCCATAAAATCTTAACTAAGTCGATGGAATTACGTTCCTGTAGATTCTGGAACCGAAGATGTTTCGCTATGCTCACAAATTGGAGGTTCAGAGAACAGACGGGGTGCTCAGCCAGCTGTCCCCTCTGCCGCACCTGTATTCTGCTTCTTATTACCAGCTGTCCGAGGAGCTGGCACGGGCCTATCCTGAGCTCACTCTCGCCATGTTCTCAGGTACGATCCGTGAACTGGTTAGTAGTTCCTCTGTAGCAATCATTTCTAAAAAGCTATCTTTAGAAAACTTTAAATATATTAAATTTGAGGTTAAATCAAAACAAAATGTCTTTACATAGGAGAATTTTTCTCTTAAGAACTCTTAGTACTGATCGATCATGATAATTAGGTTTCCTATCAATGGGCTTTATACCTGGCCCTTTTTTTCTCACCCTACTCCAGCTAAAGAAAAGAAGAAGTGAGGCTTTACGTGGGATTTTAAAATATTTTTTTAGTAGACATAAAACTTCCTAATGCATTTTATTCTGTGTATTGGCCTGTCTTTAATAATAAAAATGGGCAAGGATAAAGATACAAGTACCTTTCTGTAAGCGCAACCTCTGATCATAGTGGTTGCCAATCATTTGCTCAGTGCCTTGAGCAAAACTCTTGCTAGGATCCCACTCTGCTTTCTGGTCCAGTTTCCTTTCCTTGGGGCCGACAAATATTCCTGCCTGGGGTTTTTGAAACATTGGGGCTGAGTCTCAGGTAAGAAGTCATAGCTATGTGGGTCTTCCAGGACTCCGATTTAGGAGAATTTCTAGAGTCCATCAGTTCAACCCTCTGTCCGATGAAAGTACTATTGTCCTCATTGTGCCTTACCCTTTAACTGAAAAGTTTAATTATAGCACAAAGGACACTCAGCCAGTTTCTCTGCTTGCCACCTGCAGCAAGATCTTGTTCCAATCTGAGAATTGGACCTGCACCAAAACTGGCATCCGGGGGGGACGACAGAGCTCTGCTGTGGGTCCTCTCTTTCTTACCCACCCCATGTCTTTGGGGAGGTTAAGCCACTGCTGTGGCCTCGGCTCCCCCGACACGGACTCTTCCTTCCTGGTCAGGATCTATCTCTTCCTTCAGTTACTTTCTAAGCTCCAGGTCTTATATTTCATGCCAGAGTGAATAAAATTGGTGTATTTTCGTGGGTGTATTTGTATTTTACAAAGCAGCAATCTCTGTAAAAGCTTAGAGTTGAGCATAACAGTGTGCCAGGACTGAGCGCTTGGTCGGCGTCATAGTGGATTTGCGCAATGACTTCATGAGGCAACTGGTTTTGTTACCCTGTCTTTACAGAATAAACAGTGGAGGATCGGAAGTTGGCGGGTTGACCCTAGGTCCGGCAGTCTGCATGTGGTAGTGTCGGGATTCGAACCCAGAGTTGTGTGATTCCAGAGCCAAGTTCTAAGTCACTCTTTCTAATGAGTAAATAGTACAGGCCTAGTGGGGAAAGAAGGGCAGAGGAGAAAGAAGGTTTTTATTCACAGTGATGTGTGGAAATCAAACAGTGTACAAAGTGTCATGGGCTTTGGAATCAACCTTGTGTTTGAACCCCCTGCCACTTGGTAATTCTGACCCCTGGCAAATCACTCTGACTCCGCCCATGTCAAGGGTTTGTCGTGAGCCTTAAAGGAGACGAACGCAGAAGTAACAGGCACGTCATAGACGTCTCGCCTGCACAGAACCAAGATAGGTGAGGTTCTTAATGAAGTTCTTACACATTTAATCTATGTGTAAAGATCGTCTTTTATCTTTCAATTATATTTATTTTTTATTGTGATCAAAAACATATAAAATTTGCCATCTTAATTATTTTTAAGTGTGCAGTTCGGAAGTGTTGAGCATATTCATGCTGTTGTGAAACAGATCTCTAGAACTTTCTCAACTTGCAGAACTGAAACCCTATACCCACTAACAACAATCTGGCTTCCCCCTCTCCCCGCCACTGTTGGTAATCACCATTGTACTTTCTGTGTCTATGAATTTGCCTACTTTGAATACTCCATATAAGTGAAATCACACAGCATTTTGTTTGCGACTGGCTTATTTCACTTAGCATGATGTCTTCAAGGTTCATCCATGTGGTAGCGTGTGATGGCACTGCCTTCCCTTTTGCCCCTTCCTTTCTAAGGCTGGATAGTATTTTGCTGTGTGCATATGTCACATTTTGTTCATTAATTTATCTGTCAGGGGACATTTGGGTTGCTTCCACCTACGTCTTGGCTGTTGCGAATAGTGCCGTTGTGAACAAGGGTGTACAGATACCTGTTTGAGTCTTTGCTTTCAATTCTTTTAGTTGTACCCCAAAGTAGGATTACTGAGGTCACATGGTAGCTGTTAATTTTCTTGATGATGTCATTGAGGTGAAATTTATATTAATATTAATTATATTAATATTATATTAATTAAATTAATATTAGATTAAATTAGATATTAAATTAATATTGATTATATTAATAAAAAGAAAGCTTTGTAATCCTAGCTCTCTGGGAGGCCGAGGCGGGCAGATTGTTTGAGCTCAGGAGTTCGAGACCAGCCTGAGCAAGCGCGAGACCCCGTCTCTACTAAAAATAGAAAGAAATTAATCGGACAACTAAAAATATATAGAAAAAAAGTTAGCCGGGCATGGTGGCGCATGCCTGTAGTCCCAGCTACTCGGGAGGCTGAGGCAGGAGGATCGCTTGAGCCCAGGAGTTTGAGGTTGCTGTGAGCTAGGCTGACGCCACGGCACTCTAGCCCGGGCAACACAGTGAGACTCTGTCGCAAAAAAAAAAAAAAAGAAAAAGAAAAAAAGAAAGGTAGTACTCGTAATTGCGAAGTATATAAAATAAAATCTGGCTTCCTGTTCTTTAAGAGGAAGATGTTGAAATTAATTACGGATGAAAGGAAGCTGAAATGACGTAGCCCTCTCATTCGGCCTGTCTGCCGTTGCAGAGATAAGCCAGAGAATCCAGACGGCCCAGCCCGCCGGGCGGCAGGTGATGCTGCGCTACCTGCTCCCCTGGATGAACAACATCGAGCTGGTGGATCTGAAGCCTCTGCCCACATCCAGGCGACACGATGAAGACGAAGACGATTCATTAAAAGACCGAGAACTGATGGTGACGAGCAGGCGCTGGCTCCGGGGAGAGGGCTGGGGGTCCCCCCAGGCCACGGCAATGGTTTTGAACAACCTGATGTACATGACAGCAAAGGTAAACTGGGTTTTGCGTTTGCTGTTGCCGCCCAGAATTAGTGAGTTCGGAGGAGTAAACGTGGTTGGAAACCGATGCAGAGATGAGATAACCCTGCGACTACTGAACAAAAATGCATCGTAAATTCCTTACTTTAAAGAAACTTCTCATCAGGCATAAATTTTTTTTCTTTTCTTTTTTTTCTTTTCTTTTCTTTTCTTTTTTTTTTTTTTTTTACTACATACATGTTTAATGATATTTATCCTTTAGATATGTTGAAAGAAATTATTGTCCTTCTACAGGGTGGAAAAAATTAAAGCTACCTGTAAAAACGTTATTTTCCAATATTTCATGGTATGACGAGTTTGGTGTTAATAGACAGCTATTACTGAAGTCCCTCTTATGTGTGCCGCCTGTCTGTAGTACGGAGACGAGCTGGCCTGGTCAGAGGTGGAGAACGTGTGGACCACGCTTGCGGACGGCTGGCCCAAAAACCTGAAGATAATCTTGCACTTTTTGATCAGCATTTGCGGGGTGAATAGTGAACCAAGCCTCTTGCCTTACGTACGTATTCAAGTTCATTTAGCAAATGTCGTATCAGTGTGTGGGCAGCAGTCGCCCAGCAGGGGCGAGACAAAGGCCCAGATGAGGATGGGCAGGAGGTAGCACGTGGATTTATTCGTTGATTGATTCAACAAATGTTATCCAGCCTTGGTATAGACCAGGTGCTCTTCAAGGTGCTGGGAATTGCAATCTGATGGGGGATGGAGAATTTATTCTTTGAACCTACGCCTAATTTATTTAATGTATAGATCAGTAAGCTCATAACATACAGTTGTGATAAGGAAAACTGCAGAATGCTGAGCGTGAATGACCTGGGAACCACAGCTGTCTGGAAGGATTAGAGATGACACTCTGCAGAGAGTGACATTTAAGCCCAGACCACAGGATTGGGGATGTTTCTATTGTCGTATCTGCCAGCAGGAGCTGGCATGTGGATATTAGAGCAAGACAGTGAGTGGGAGCTCAGTGCCTGTAGGATGGTGTCTCGGGCTGCTGGAAGCGAGGGAAAGCCTGCTAAGACATAGAAAGTGACGAAGGTAACGTTTTTGCCTTCTGGGGAAGAAAGCAACACTTCAGTGTGTCCAAGTTAAAAGGATACTCTGAAACCGTCAAACACGAGGATTAAGTCGAATACACATGTGTGCACGTCTGTGAGTGCGTGTTTATAGGTACAGATAGCAGTCACGTGCCCCCAAAAGAATGTTCTGTGGAAGACTAGTTCTACGGAATGTGGCTTTAAAATTTCTTACAGGTCCTACTTTAAACAAACCACTCAATCACTTTGCTTTATCCAGCATTTCTGCAAGTCCACTTGGTCCCTGAAAGTGTCGTTTGCAAGGTGTGTCACGGGGTTAGTATCCTTGAGCAGCACTTAGAGAATGGCAGGTGCTTGGAACAAGACAACAGGAGCCCATGTGACCACGGCTCCCGATATCCAGGTGCTCCCACGCTCCAGCCTCCAGCCGGGCTGGCCCCTGAGGCCCCGCGCTCTCACCAGGCGTCCTGCCTGCGGCCCTTGCACGCACTCGCCTTCCCTCTCCCCAGGTAGAACACAGCTGGCTCCCTTGCCTGTCAGTGTTCCCTGAGACCTCCCGCCCCTCCTACCCCAAACTGCAAATGCCTACCCCAGGCGCACACTCCTTTTTCCTTTCCCTGCCCTGTTGATCTTTCTGGGCATATGTACTATTGAAATAAGGTTCTCCCCTTAATTCATGCAGTGTACTAGCTATTTTGAAAGCGCATTACAAATCTTAACTCATGGAATCCTAACAGCTCTCTGCAGTGGGTGCTAATGCAGTCCCCAACTTAAAAGTGAGAAAACTGAGCGTAACTTTCCAGGTGACATTAGCTGGTAAGTGGTAGAGCCACATTGCGGGCTGGGCAGCGTAGTTGGAGTTCCAGTTCCTCGCTCTTAATGACGACTCTTGTTGAATACAGGGAGTGGGGGAGGCAGAATACAAGATAAATCCTGGGTTTGAAGGCTGGCTGAGTAAAAATCAGAGGAAAATCCAAGAATGATATGAACGAAAAGCTTTTCCATTAAAAAAGAAATTTTTATAGAAAAGCGATTTTATTTACTTATTTTTTGCTTTTTTTTTTTTAAAAGAAGTCACAGAAGTAAAGGAAGTGCATAAAGTGGTGGGAACCGTTAAACATTCCGCTCATCGCAATCAGATCTCATGTTGAGGGTTGGGGCGTCGGTGTCGGTGACGCCGATTAATGTCTCGTTGCCGATCGGCGCAGACTCGGATTAGATTGTGCTTATTCGTGTCCCACTTACGGTTGAACTTGAATAAAATTTGCCCCCAGACAAATTAATGAGGTGCAATTTCTGCTTTTTCTCTTCTGAACGATTTCTTTTGTGACAGGTGAAGAAAGTCATCGTGTACTTGGGTAGAGACAAAACGATGCAGTTGCTGGAAGAGCTGGTGAGTGAGCTGCAGCTGACCGACCCCGTCAGCTCCGCCGTGGCGCACATGGACAACCCGCCCTACTACCGCATCTCCTCCAGCTGCAAAATCCCTTCTGTCGCCTCAGGTGGGAAGTCGTTCTGAGCTGGTAACTTTGCGACTATGTGAGACGCCAGCTGTGTCAATCTGTTTTGCTGTAGTGACCATTATCTGTGTGTATCCTATAGCATCATATCGTAAACCTCACATATACACAGTGACATTTATTTTTTACAAAAACTTACTTTGTATCAAAAGAGAAGCTTTATGAAATCGATCATTTAAGCAAGCATTTGTTGTGTCTTTAAGTATCATTATTGGAAAAAACAAAAACAAACGGGAGTTTTTCATGGTGATTAATTTAAAGAGACTTTGCAGATCCTCCTATGAGTACAGAAATTTGACTATGTAAGGATTCCTAATATTATAGAGGGAAACAATATTTGCATACCTATTCAGAACTGGAATATAAATTCGTATATCCCTATACAAGAAATGCAATTTTAAGTGAATATAATTAGCATGTTGATTTCAACAAGTAAGCATTTTCTAAATTTATTTGTGTGATTTCACAGTATAATTATCCGGATATATCTTATACATCATATATAATCACATGAGTATATATTCTTATATGTATACACATATAGTTATAATTATTGTAATATTTTTAGTTGAAGAAACTGTCCCTAACAGAGTAACTTCCAATGAAATTGAGAACACTATCTAGGCTATTGTAGATGAATTTTCTGTGAAACTCTTTGTCATTCAATTTATATTAAATGTTTTTAACATGTTAGTAACAATGTTATCTATGTATAATTAGAAATATTTTAAATTATATATTTATAATTTTGTTATCTATTTTCATCTCTTAGCCTTTTCTACTTTCTAGGGAATTTCTAATAATGCAACTATGGAATTTTTCATATCTGCTAGAATGTTTTTAATTCCAAAGAAGTTTTTTATTATCATTTTTTCAGTAGCACCCTATTAATGTTTCATGGTTGGACTATCTTTTTGTGTATCTGATAAAGTTATAAAGTTTTCTTCACACAGCAGAAGTCCCCATTTTCTCTATATTGCTGATTTTTCTTTCTTTCTTTTTTTTTTTTCAAGAGACTATGTCTCACTCTGTCACCCAGGCTGGAGTGCAGTGGCACAATCTTAGTTCACTGCAGCCTCGAACTCCTGGGCTCAAGCGATCCTCCTGCATAGTCGGGACTACAGGCATGTACCACTATGTCTTGGCTAATTTTTTCCATTTTTCTTTTTTCTTTTTCTTTTTCTTTTTTGAGATGGGGTCTCACTATGTTGCCCAGGCTAGTCTCGAACTTTTGACCTCAAGCGATCCTTCTGCCTCAGCCTCCCAAGTAGCTGTGCTTTGATTTGTTTTAGGAAAAGCTTTCCTCAAAATCTTACCAGTTCTAGATCTATATTTTCCTAAAGAGAGGAGTATTAAAACTTTATAAGTTCTGTAGGTATATATGGAACTCGTTGACTGTGTCCTTTGTTATAGGATGATTTCAGTGACGTCAGTCTGTAGGTCTTTTCTCTTGGATTAATCAGATTCCCCAGAGTAAAACTCTACTAGTCATCTGCCTACAATAACAATAGAGGGGATGTATGTGTATCTATGGATTATATATATTTATATACACTCATACCCAGTCTTCAAGCCTCTGGAAGCCCAATGGGATAAGAAGGATGCAGAGGGGCACAGTCTCAAATTTTAGCATCATGTAGATTTTCACTAATCCCCCATTCTCAGTAAGGTGCATCCTCTTCCAGCTGTACGTGGTGTGCCCTAGTCCAGAAATCTGATTTACTCTCATCAGAAAAGACCTTCTGGAAGTGGGGAGACACAGCCACCTACCTACAAGAGGCAGGGAAGTAGATTTTGGAGGCCAACTCCTCTAAAATAGGTTTTCAACCAATTTTCTTACTTTTATCACCACTTTCAACCCCTACTCTAAAGGGTTGGTTCTCAGTGCCACTCATTCCTGAGCCGTTTAGAGATTCAGTAATGTAGATATGGAAGCTTTTTGGTTTCCCCCACTACCAGCTTTGGATTCAGCTTTCTTAATACTTCACTACTTGTCCATTTGTTTTCTGGCATCCAAAAATTTGTTGCTATTATCGTCTTTCTCTCTTGGTCATTATGAGTACATTCCTTTTTTTAGAGGCAGGGTCTTGCTCTGTTGCCCAGGCTGGTATGCAGGGTGTGATCACAGTTCACTGCAGACTTGAACTCCTGGGATCAACGTGCCACTTCAGCCTCCTGAAAAGCTGGGGCTACAGGCGTGCACCATTACACATGGCTAATTTTTTTTTTATTTTTTGTAGAGATGGGGTCTTGCTGTGTTACCCTGGCTGGTCTCAAACTTCTGGGCTCGAGCAGTCCTCCCACCTCAGCCTCCCAAAGTGCTGGGATTACAGGCGTGAGCTACCACGCCTGGCTTCGTTTTTTGTTTTGTTTTCGTTTTTTGGTTTTTTCCCAATCAACACAGGCTTTGTTTCTATTTCTCCCATTGGCTTCCCTGAGGGTCTCAGCAGAGTCCTCATGGGCATTTAGCGTCTCTGGAGCCCTGCTCAGAGCAGGACGAGGAGCAACAACCTCCTTTTCAAAAATCACTTTGCTCTCATTTTAGCGGCGTTTTGGCATCTATAATTTGAAATCTGTTGTTCTTATAGTTATTCCAGGTTTTAAAATTGACAAGTATTGCTCTGTCTTGGATTCCAGGAACTACTTCCAGTAGCAATACCATGGTAGCTCCCACAGATGGCAATCCTGATAATAAGCCTGTCAAAGAGAACATTGAAGAGAGGTGAGTACTCCTTTGTTCTTCATTAGCCTTTCAGTTTGACAGATACCAATTGTCATCAGAATAAATGATAATTTCTGCATTGGAATGTGTATTTTGTTGCATTGAAATCCTGGTAAAGAAATATATTTCCATACTGGAAATGTTTCACATGGATGGTTTCAGGATTACAGTTGCTGGTGTGCTGGGTTTTTTACACCCTCTAACGGATGCATCGCTGGAGTATCATAAGCCACTTTCTGTGTTGTTTACGCTTGTAGACATTTCTAAGCAGATATTCTGCCTGTTTTGTAGACCAGAACATTCTTAGCACACCTATTTAAGGGGAATCTTTAGGTAGAAATAATTGATTAAAAGCTTAAGCTTTCGAATTATAAGGTGGAAATGAATACATATCATAGTACGCTTTTGTTAATGTTTTGTGTGCTGCTCTTTGTCAAACATAGACAGTGAAACATAAAGTACAAATGACCTGTGACTAACTTCAGTGATCATTCCCGTAGCTATGTGCACCCGGACATCTACAGTGGGCTCAACAATCATTTGAATCGCCAGCATCACAGGCTAGAATCTCGATACAGTAGCAGCTCTGGAGGATCTTACGAAGAAGAAAAAAGTAATAAATTCCAAACGTTTTTTATATAACTAACTTAAAATGGTGAGGTGTATTATTAGCGGTGTTGATGAATTTTTCCAGTAAATTGTTTTTAAAAAGAGTATTTAACTGCCACTAATGGTGTTCCAACGTAATCTGAAATGTCTCAATTTTAAGAAACAATGATTTTAAGAAGCAACATAAATGGGGGGATTTATTTTTTTATTTATTTTTTAATTTTTTTTTTAAAAACGGATTCCCTCTGTATAAATCACAACATAAAAATTGGTCGTCAGGCAGCAACACGGGAAACAGGCTGGTTTTTTGAACAGATGGTTTGTGTTTCGCTAAAAAGATTTCCGCTTGCAATGGCAAGGGGAATAATCTACCCAAGTCTCATTGTAACATGAAGGTAGGGTGTAATAAAAGCACAAGCTTTCAGACCGGGAAGGGAATCTAAAGATAATCTGGTCCAATCTCCTCATTTTGTACATGACGGAACTGAGGTCCAGAGAGGTTAAGTGACTTACCCATGTCACACAGAATTCATATTTCCTGACGTCATTTTGAACTGCACCCTGCAGCCCCGCTGTGGTAGGGCAGAATTCAAGATGGACTTGGGTTGGCCCTATCGCAGGAAATTTAGAACTGAATAACTTACCAGAAGGCCTTGTAACCAGAAGGTTACAAGGCAGCTTCACTTGTAATGTGGTCTCCTGGCTGGGACATCAATTATGGAATCACAATGCAGTGCTAATGTAGTTTTGCTTCGATATAAAGGATGGAACCTAAATTTCTCTCTTTCTCTCTCTCTCTCGGATTTGCTTAATTTGATAATATTTATACCCAGGTCTTCCTAGCAAACCTATGTCAAAATAGTGGGAAATAGTTTTTTTTATCCAATGCTATAAGATAGTCGGTGTCTTACTAGAGTTTGCTTATATTGGCAGAAATTAGATGGCGTAGAAAATGAGATCATTTTATCTTGATAGGTGACTCAATGCCACTTTATTCTAATTGGCGGCTGAGAGTGATGGAGCACAACCAAGGAGAGCCACTGCCCTTGCCACCAGCTGGAGGCTGCTGGTCGCCACTGGTGGATTACGTGCCTGAAACGCCATCACCTGGATTACCTCTTCACAGGTGGACCACAGCGCCATTCCTATTCACGCGGGTCGAGTTGCTGCCCAACGCTCAGCTTGCTTTATGCCGTCCGACAGCACAGAACGAAAGCAGTCTTCCTTACTGAGATCCCGCCACAAATGAGATTCATGCGTTTAGATGTGAAGGAATCTAAAAAGCTCAGGATTCGAACTGTATAAAATTAATATTACTGAATCTAATTCTGCTGCTGCTTTTCTGGGTGTCTGGCATAGTTACTTGACCTTTCTGGGACCCAGTTACTGCATCTGGAAAATACGGCTTTCTTGGAATAGGCACTATTGCTTCGAATCGTGTTAAACTGAATTCTACTTAGCACGATCACAGCAGAGCAATTCCCACATTCTTTTAAAGTGTATTAATGCACCGAACGTACATTGAACACCTGTGTGGCAAGCGGTGTGCTAGGTCTCAAGGTTGAAAGATGAAAAAAACATGGCTCTCCGCTTCAGGAGCCCTTAGCCCTTCTGTTTATTCTATCACTTTAACTTAATGGTTAATGGGTTCTTCAGCTATATTCGTCTTTCCTCTTTTTTCCTTGATAATGTTGTATTTTTCTGTGAAATACAATATTACAGTCTTCAAGGAATTTTGTATGAAATTTTCTCTAGGTTTGCGCAGATCTGGTAAAGCATTTACAATGCCGTCCTTTGTCCTAGGTGTAACATAGCGGTGATCCTCTTGACTGACCTGATCATCGATCACAGCGTGAAGGTGGAGTGGGGAAGCTACCTCCATCTTCTTCTCCATGCAATTTTTATAGGTAATAAACACGTGGTTTTAATTCCTTCGTTTTATATTTTTTTATGATCGTTTAAAGGCAGTGTGGCTTTAAGAATGTGTTTACGTGTCTCTGTTTCCTGTTGTTTGTGTGTTATTCCCATGACGCTTTTCACCATGAATCCGCTGGTCTAGTGGGGAGTCATTCCCGGCCTGTCTCCTGACCACAAACACGTCTGCTGTCCTCATTCCTGTTCCCGTCCTGTGACCCCTCCCACTCCACGCACATGTGCCCCTCTAACGCTGTATCACCAGCAAGAGTAAAACTAATGTACCTCTGGGATTGGAAGCTTTCACAGAGAATGAGAAATGGAAATAAGTTCTAAATGTTTTCCAGAAGAATTAGATTGTTGGACAGCGTTTATTACACCTGAAACTCCGTTGTGTTCTCTGCAACAAACTCATTGGATCTAGCGCATCTGGAATACCTTTGATGCTTATGGGATTAACTTCCTGAAGCAAGTCAAGACAGCCATTTTCTTACAAGTTTCCCTCATATGCACTCACTTATATATGTATTACTTTGTTCTTTCAGTTAAGCAAATGTTTGCTGACTTTCTATTACGTGCTAAGCACCAAAAAATGCCTGCCTTTTTTTAAAAAAATTCATTTCCATCTGGTGTTACGTATTTGTAAGAGATCGCTAAATTTAAGACATGAAACGTTTAAAACTTATCTTGATTCTCCCTAGAACTGTAGGACAATAGGCTACTTTAAAAGTGTGTAAGAACTTTAGGCCAGTAAACAACTTTATAATACATTATCTTCCATGAAATCTTTTATTAATATGTAATTTCTGCTTTTCTTTAAAATATGAGTTCGGTGGGAAGGATACTCATTAGTTCTCTGTATTAATCATGTTTTCTACCATCCGTTTTAGGGTTTGACCACTGCCACCCTGAGGTGTATGAGCATTGCAAACGCCTGCTTCTGCACTTGCTGATAGTGATGGGATCCAACAGTAACATCCGAACTGTTGCTTCTGTCCTTCTCAGGAACAAGGAGTTTAACGAGCCCAGGGTGCTGACTGTCAAACAGATTGCACACTTAGATTATACCTTCACAGGTATTTGCTTTAAAAGTACGATTTGAAAGTAGAGTCATACTTCATTAACTGGGAATCCCGCGCGAGAGAAAGTCAACTAAATAAAAGTCGAAATGCTAGAGGACACTATTTTAAAATGTAGTTGTATCATTTTAAGTGCTATTTACATTATTTGTTAAACAGCAAAAGAAGGAATTAGCCTTAGAGTATCTGAGCCTATATTGCCTTTAAGATCTTTTTCACACAAGTTTTAAGTTCTGAATATGTAAGTTGAGGATGTGATGAGAGAGTGCTTACTTTATTGAGCACTAATTATGAAAATGATGTTGAACTTGTATTAGATTCCACCTCCTTGCAGGATCTGAAAACTGACAAAGGCATTCTAAATTTTCTGTTCACTTGACTATATTTACTGCATTAAAAAGTTACACATTTTGAAGTAGTGAGCTGCCAATTAATGAGACTTTATAGATAAAATTTATTTCTCTGTCAATATTAATTTTTTTTTGAAACTATGTAAATTGTATTTTCTTCTTTCCTAACGTAACTATTCTATTCATTAGCATCATCAAGCTAATAACAGATGATCTGGAAAAATACTAATTTTCAAAATTAAAATAAAATTACCATAATTAGTGTCAGATATGGGGTTCATAAATTTTAAAGTTACTTAGTTAAAACCCTGTTGTTTACTTAAAACCCTGTAGTTAGAAAACAATTATTAAAAAACTTATTAGCCTTTTAAAACTATGATTAAGAGAAAAATGAAATAAAGTTTACTGCCTTATTTATGTTAAAGCACCTTTATTCAAAATTCTGTAGCTTTCTTGTTTGTTTTTAAAGTTTCCTTTGTCATTTTGTAAATGTGGGCATTACTAATAACCTTTAACAGGGTTTGTTTAATAATTGACGTTAAGTATTACAAATAGTCTTTAAAATAGTCTTTCTGTAAGTAAAATGAAGCAAAAATCATAGAATATTTTCCATAAAAAATTAGTTTCGGCCGGGCGTGGTGGCTTACACCTGTAATCCTAGCACTCTGGGAGGCCGAGGGAGGCGGATTGTTTGAGCTCAGGAGTTCGAGACCAGCCTGAGCAAGAGCGAGACCCTGTCTGTACTAAAAATAGAAAGAAATTAATCGGACAACTAAAAATATATAGAAAAAACTAGCCGGGCATGGTGATGCATGCCTGTAGTCCCAGCTACTCGGGAGGCTGAGGCAGGAGGATCGCTTGAGCCCAGGAGTTTGAGGTTGCTGTGAGCTAGGCTGACGCCACGGCACTCACTCCAGCCCGGGCAAAAGAGTGAGACTCTGTCTCAAAAAAAAAAAAAAAAAAAATTAGTTTCCATTGTACAGACGTGACCGGCTTCAATGTTAGCAAAATATTAGGAAGCTGCCACTTCCAGGTTTGCTCAGCAGATGGCAGCAGAGAGCTGCACAGTAAATCCACACCCCTGAGTTTTCATAGTAAGCTGTGAAAATGACGTTTGCCCAAAACGTGCTTGCTGTAGTTTATGGGGACAGGCAGAGGCACTGATGCACAACATCAGAAAGTGTCGTTCCAGAAAGAGGCTGCTTTAGGGCCCTGAAAATCTGAAAGAGCTGCACTGACAGAGCTCCCCGTGTGCCCCGTAGAGTCCACGAGGAACAGCAGTTCAGTCCTTTAAGTGCTTCGTGAGGTTCGTTGATGTTCAGATACTCACGGGGCTCTCTCTCTCTCAGCAGGCGTTAACGATTTTATACCCGATTACCAGCCCTCCCCTATGACCGACTCAGGGCTTAGCTCAAGTTCTACCTCTTCCAGTATCAGCTTAGGGAACAGCAGCGCCGCCATGTCTCATCTGCACACCACCATCCTCAACGAGGTGGACGTCGCCGCGGAGCAGGAGGGAAAAGTCAAAACCCTCATGGAGTTCATCGCCTCCAGGTAACCGCGCAGCCCTCGCCGGCCCAGCGGCGGGTGTGCCGGGCCGTCCTTCCGTCCATCAGCTGTTGTAAGCCGTGTTTCTGTTCTCTGAAATGCCATTCGTTCGAAATACGCAGGTTTGTATCGTGGAACGTTTTGAAAACTATGATGTCACCAAAGACCTCCTTCTGCTGTACCCAAACGCAGTCATACCCGAGAAGGGCCTTAATCGTGTCTGCTTACTAAATGCCCAGAGAGCTTTCAGTATTATCTGGATGTCTGTTCTGCTTTCGTTAGCTCTGCTATGAATCAGTCATCAAATATGTATCTGTGAGCTAGTCTGTGCCAAGGCACTATAAATGGAAAAGGAGAATAAATGGGGAGAAAGGGCCTGGGACCCCACAGTGACAGCAAAGTCACGAGACAGCAGAGTGTGTTTGGAAATGGTGAGTATCTCTCTTCCTGTAATGCGGAGAAAAGAGAGTTGTTCTTTGCAGACAGTTCTAGAAAGCTTGGGAGAGTTAAAACTGGAGGGCTGTGGAGCCCGGGCCGTAAGGTTGTAGGTGACATCGAAAAGCGCTGAGCTAGGTGGGGAGCGTGGAGGCATCGTCATCAGTACGTGGAGAGAATCGGCCCGACAGCCGCACACAGGGCAAACGGAGCTGGGAAGGCCTGACAGCCGCGTGGGCGTGGGGCAGGTTTCAGGGCACTTTGGCCCGTGATAATAAGGGGCTTGACGGAGGTGGTGGCCTGAGAATGCAAAGAAATTTTAAGAAAAGAATCAAGGGCCCGTTATTCTGTCCTGTGCTTTCCCTGTAGTTTGAGCTAGTAACTTGTTTTCGCTGCATTTAACCAGCAAATTATTTTCTTTGCATTACAATCTAAATGCAGTCTACCCTCCACCAATTATGTTTTGACCCGTAACACGAGCAGTAACCAATACTCTTCTCACTTGGCAAAGTTTGTCATCTTTTCCTACTACCTCTGAGAGAATTTGGTAGATGTTGAAATTAGATCTTTCTCTGCTTGCTGTAGATCGTTACATATTCGTGTATCCAAATAGTAGTAGCAGACTGTTACCTGGTATTTGATTCATTCAACTTCTGTCCTAATTGTAAAGGTACACATTAGGCAAGTGTGAGCACAACTGTTTTTTGTTTTGTTTTTGTTTTTTAGCCATTTTAAATCCTGACATCAACTGTTATAATAATAACCAAGGGAGTTACTTCTGTTCTCTGTTTTCAGAAAAAGAGGACCCCTTTGGAACCATGAGGATGTTTCCCCTAAGAACCCTAGCATAAAGAGTGCTGAACAGTTAACTACCTTTTTGAAACATGTGGTTTCTGTTTTTAAGCAGTCAAGCTCAGGTATCTTAATAAATATTTTGAAAAGTGTTAAATTTTAATGAGATATTTTAATGTGATGTCAATTTCTGATAATACTTAGCAAAAAATTGATAGTAGATGTGTCTAAATTAAAAAGTTTTAGACAGGTTTTCTTTTTTAATGTATTAATGATAAACAGATAAGTTTTGATTGAAGAAAAATTAAGTTACTACTTAAAAATAAGCATGCGATCTATGAAATTCTGGGCTTCTGAGTTTTGTGTATAACAGCATCATAAAATTGCAATACAATTGTATATTATGAAAAGGTTACATAGAGGTGGCAGACTTAAAAATTCTCTTTTATACTGTTACAGGCTTCTGTGATCTAAAAGTTATTTATTTCTATTTAATTTTTTTGGTGAGGACTGGAAAACCTGCTAGACAAATTCTGAAAGAGCTGTAACACTTGTGATCTAAACTTTAACACATTCTGAAGATCATAATGAAAATTTGTGTGTCTAGAGAAGTGGTTCTCAATGAGGGGTAATTTTGCCCCTTAAGAGACATTTGGCAATGTCTGGAGAGATTTATGTCCCAACTACAGGTTGGGGGCAAGGAGTTGGTACTCGCATCTGGTGGGTAGAGGCCAGAGACAGTGCTAACCATCGTACACGGCTCAAGACAGCCCTTTCAAGAAAGAATTATCTGGCCCAAAATGTCAGCAGTGCCGAGTTTGAGAAACCCTGCCTGGTCTCAAGGATTGTTTCCCTAGAGATTAGAAAAAAGCGTCATCTAAAATGCAAATGGAGTTTAATCAAAGAAAAAGCATTGACTTAGAAAATTTGAGTGTCCGTCTGGTTGGCCAGGTAGTGTGCTAGCTATTGGTTTTCAAATGATTAGCTTCTGACTGCAGCCTCTGTGCGGTACTCTGAAAAACAAGGACCACCTGCTTGTTTCCACAGAGGGAATTCATCTGGAACATCATCTTAGTGAAGTTGCTCTGCAAACAGCACTTTCTTGTTCTTCTCGACACTACGCTGGGAGATCCTTTCAGATTTTCAGGGCCCTAAAGCAGCCTCTTTCTGCAACGACACTTTCTGATGTTCTCTCCAGACTTGTGGAAACTGTAGGGGACCCAGGAGAAGATGCGCAGGTATTCCGTTACATGCTTTCAGCAGTTATCGCGCAATCGGGGTTGTCAGGGGCTTATTGCCAAACATAGGCTGCTGTGCTGGAGCAAGATAATGGTCATATAGAATGGTTAATGTCAGGTGTTCACAAACAGGCATGGAGTTAAGAGACGGAGTTAAGTTTTATAATCAATACTTAATAACCCACTAATGAAATCAAATAGCGCAGTGCCTGTCAGAGAAAGCTTTATAAACACACACCTCTGGATATTATCCTGGGGTGACCACAAAGTAAAAGAGATGAGAAGCGAAATTTAATTGTAAAATGGAATGTTGAATTTCATTTTTTAAGAGAAATTAAGTGAAATACTACGCTATAGAGAACTTAAGTTTGTGTAGACTAATGATTTTATTAGCATGCTTCTAGACATTGGGGAGCTTGTAGTGAACAACACAAGGTTCCTGGCATTTTGGAGCTCGTATTCTTTTGTGGGAAACAAGCCTTTAGTCTACCAATTATATATAACCTCATTTATCTCCATGATAAATGCTGTGAAAATAATAAGTTAGAGTAAAGAATTAAAGAGTGATGGGGGAGAGGGAATTACTTTATATGTGATCATCTGAGAAGGTGATTTTTGAACAGATACTGAAGTGAAGCAGGCCCTATTTTGATCTGGGGAAGAACATTTCAGGCAGAGGGGAATAAGGCTAACAAGTGCAAAGGCCCTGAGGCAGAAGCAATAGGCTTTTCTGAGGAACACCAAGAAAACCAGTGTGGCTGGAGTATATTGAGGGGATTGCAGGAGGTTGATTAGGTAGGCAGATCCCCATCACGCAAGGCCTAGTAGGCCCTGGTGAGAGGTGGGACGTTACTCTGAATTGATGGGAAAGCACTCAGAGGTTTTTTAGAGAAGGAGGGTGATGGATGCGATTTGTTTTAACTCAGTCTGGGTGCAGTCCTTAGGGAGAGTGAGTGTGGAAGCAAGAGAGATCAGTTAGGAGGTCATTGTAAGAGTCGAGGCTGCAGTGGTGGTAGCTTAAAGGAAGCTGTGTAGGTAGAGAAAAATGGTCAGATTTAGGAGCTATTAGGTCATTAAGTATGAAATGTCCGATTTCCTTAAGTGCAAAGTTTGACAGTTGATATCTCTGACATTTCACTTTAAAACTTCTTGGTTTTTGTTTTGTTTTTTATTGTGAAGGTACATCCTCTTTCTTTCAAGCGCACATTTTGGCTTGTAATTATCTTTCAAATTTTTTTTTCCGAGCAATTTTTGTGAAACCATGGATAAGTCAAAAATTCGTGTCATTTTTGAATATGAGTTCCATCATGGAACCAATGCAGTACAGACAGCTAGAAATATCAATGAAGTGTTTGGTATGTAGCTGATGAATGCACAGTACATCGATGGTTTGAGAAGTTCCGTTCTGGTGAGTTTAATCTTGAAAATGAGCCACGTGGGTAACCTGAGACCAAAGTGGATAATGATGAGCTGAAAGCTGTAGTGGAAGCGAATCCATCTCGACCTATGTGTGAATTAGCAGCGAGGTTTGACGTCATTGTTCCAACAATATTGGACCATCTGAAACAAACTGGCAAGGTAAAGAAGCTGGATAGATGGGTGCCGAATGAATGAAATGAGCATCAGAAGAGAAATCATCTCGCAGCTTGTCTTTCTTTGTTGTCACGACATAAAGGCAAATAATTTCTACACTGTATTGTTATGTGTGATGAAAAATGGATTCTTTTTGACAATCACAAGCGTTCGGCACAATGGTTGGATGAAGATGAAGTGCCAAAACACAGTCCGAACCCGAATATTCATCAGCAAAAGCTAATGGTGTGTATTTGGTGGTCCAGCACTGGTATTATCCACTACAGCTTCATGAAGCCTGGTCAGTCGATTACAGCGGATGTCTGCTGCAACCATTTGGATGAAATGACTACGATGCTTGTGATTAAGCAGCTGAGACTGGTGAATAGAGACAGGCGAATCCTCTTGCAAGACAACGCTCAACCACATGTCGCACAAACAATGTTGCTCAGACTACAGAGGCTGGACTTGGAAACCCTCTGTCATCCACCGTATTCACCAGACCTTGCACCAACTGACTACCACTTCTTCCGGGCTCTGGACCACTTCTTGCAAGAAAAAACATTCAGTTGTCAACAAGCTGTGGAAAACGCCTTTAGTGATTTCATTGCCCCTCGCTCCCTAGGCTTCTTCGCTGTTGGCATAAACAAGCTACTGTTAAGATGGCAAAACTGTGTCTGCAGTTTAGGCGCATACTTTGATTAATTGTACCACTTCTTGTTTGAGATCAAATAAACTAAACTTTTGATTCAAAATCAGACATTTCATATTTAATGACCTAATATTTTAAAAGTAATATTTCCAAGACTTGTTGATGGATTCAGTTTAGACATGAAAGAAAGAAACAAGGATGGCTCCTAGATTTCTGACCTGGCAATTCTGAGTAAATTGTGGTGCCATTTATAATCAATTTATACCATTACTTTGATGAGTTTTCATCAGTCAACAAGATCATGTTGCTCAAGAGTTTAATCATTTTATAATATTAATGTAGAGTTTGTTCTATTTTTAACTCTCATCAGGAAGTCCATTGTAATTTTTTTCCAGAGCATAGGTGATTAAAATCTGCCTTTTTCTCTCCAGGGATTTGTGATTGAGCTTCTTCTCACGTTGGAATCCGCAATTGATACTTTGGCTGAAACCATGAAGCATTATGATCTCCTTTCTGCCTTTTCTCAGTAAGCATTTAAACTAGGCAATCTAATGTACACAGAACTCTGGTAGCTAAATACATATGACAGTGTGTTATTCTAGTACTGGTTGTGAGAGTAATACCCCCAGAATCAGATGGGTGATGGGGAAGCGGGCCTCAGACCATGAGGACTTGAGAAAGATCCCGGAGCCCATTTTGGCAATGCTGTTCTTCCAGTGTGCAGGTCAGAGATCCCTCTGCTGCTCGGGCTTCGTTCCTACCACACCCACGCTCGGCATCCTCCCGTTGCTCCCCCGACAGCCCCGGCCCGTGGGACACGCACCCTTCACACAAGGTTCCTTCTCCCCAGAGCAGGCTCTCCTCCCACTTTCTCTGCCTTGCAAGCCCTGCATTCACTGATCCTTCAGGTCCCGTCCCAAATGTCACCTCCTAGCTAAGCATTTCTTTCTTCTTTTTTTTTTATTTCAGCATATTTTGGGGGTACGGATGTTTAGGTTACGTGTGTTGCCCTTGCCCCCTCCCCCCGCCAAGTCCGAGCTTCAAGCGTGTCCATCCCCTGGATGGTGCGCGTCGCACTCTTTGTGTGTGCGTATGCCTGTCCCCTGCTCCCCCTCCCCCCTGCCCGACATCCAATAGATGTTATTCTTATATGTGCGCTTATGTGTTGATCAGCTAATACCAATTTGATGGTGAGTACATGTGGTGCGCTAGCTAAGCATTTCTTACTCTTCCACGGTAGTGCTAATTATTCCATCTTTTGGGTTCTCACAGTGTTTTCTTCATATTTTAATAATAGCAATTAACAAGCTATAAATGTATCCATTTAGGTATCTATCTCCTCCCACAATGCACTTTAAAATTTCTAGCCTTTTGCATACTGCTAGCACAGATAGAAAACATTCAGTCAATGTTTTCCTAATCAACGATAATTAGATTTGCGGGAGAAGGAAAAACAAAAAATGAATTTTTGAGCTTTGTTCTCTTGAAAAGAATGTGCCATGGAGAGAAATAGGGACATCAGGACCATTAAGTCTGAGGATAAGACAAATGAGGTCTGCTTTGGACATAACATACACCTAAATCCCAAAGCCGAAAGTGACTATTGATTACTATAGGAAAATTTTCGTAGCAAGTCAGACCTCATTGCAATTAGAAGGAAACAGCTATAGTGGGAAAGGTACTGTTGTTTTAATTTGGAGGGAAAACTGAAATTTGATGCTACAAAGTCAGATATACTGAAAAATTATTTGTCTGGTAATAGTTACTATTTTTCAGTGTTTTCGAAAGTAAAATCAATGTAGCAGAAGAAGCCACTGTGCATGCATTCATCTCTTCTTTCTTTTTCTCTTTAAAGAACCTCATACCACAATCCTATAATGGGAAACAAGTATGCAGCTAACAGGAAAAGCACTGGACAACTCAATCTAAGCACAAGTCCCATGAACAGCAGCGGTTATTTGGGATATAACAGTAATGCAAGAAGCAACTCTTTGAGATTAAGTTTAATCGGCGACCGGAGAGGCGACCGGCGGCGGAGCAACACACTGGATATCACGGATGGACGGATAAACCACAGCAACAGCCTCGCGAGGACTAGAAGCCTCTCCTCTCTGAGGGAGACGGGCATGTACGACGTGCAGTCCACTACTGAGCCGGCCAACTTGATGGCCACCATTTTTTGGATCGCGGCGTCTTTACTAGAATCAGATTACGAGTACGAATACCTCCTGGCTCTCAGGATCCTCAACAAACTGCTCATCCATCTGCCTTTGGATAAATCAGAGAGTCGAGAGAAGATCGAAAGCGTACAAAGCAAATTGAAATGGAGTAATTTTCCGGGCCTTCAGCAGCTCTTCCTTAAGGGCTTTACCTCAGTATCTACGCAAGAAATGACCGTGCACCTCCTCGGCAAACTCGTTTCCGTCTCCAAACACGCCTTGGTGGATCCCTCCCGCTTGTCAGGTGATGTTGACCCAACGGCCCCAACACTTTGCATTTTAAGTAGTGAAGTGTAAACTAACCATTTGTTTTGAAATCTACTAATTTCTGCTTTTCTGCAAACAGTTATCGTTTTTATGTGTCAGGTAGCTTAAATTATTTGGTAAAAGCAAAAAGCGAAAAGAAAAAAAAAAAAAGAATTTAGAAGCTTGAGTATCCCGGGAAATGAAAAGAAAATGGTTTCCGCGAACCATCTGAAAAATGCCTTTAACTTTTAAAATCACGTGCAATAAAATTGGTTATTGTTTGCTTTTCTTTGTTTTGATAGGCTTTCCTCTTAACATCCTTTGCTTATTGCCTCACTTAATCCAGCATTTTGACAGCCCAACTCAGTTTTGCAAAGAAACAGCTAGTCGCATAGCGAAGGTAAGCAAATGTTACGGTGAAAGATAACGTCACTGCAGGGAAGTTACTCTGTAGTTTATCGAGGGGGGGAATCGCTTAAAAAAATCTTTCTACTGTCACTTCCTGTGTGAATTTTGCATCTAAATTTTTATTCATTTTTCATGCGCTTCAGGGAGTCATGCAGTAATGATGTGAGTTACTGCTCAAATGACAGTGAATAAAATTATTTCCTTAGAGTGACACTCCGAGTCTGTGTCTTTTTCTGCTCCTTTTCCCAACTTTATCCTCTGCCTCTCTGTCGGTGTCTCCTTCATTCATTTATTCACTACCGAGTGCTTACTGAGCCCTGAGTTAGGTGCTGCAAATACAACGGTAGGCAAAGTAGATAGAATACTTACCCGTGTGGACGTTATTGCGGGGAATGCAGTCGAGTAAACAGACAGTCACCAGAGTCCGGTAAGTATTTTAGCAGTAGGAGGGCAAAATACTCTAAGAGCACACGCAGCAAAGGCCTTTCTGGAGGAAGTGTTATCTAAGCTGACGTCGAAGGCTGAACAGGAATAACCAAAGAGAGATCCCTGGGTCAGAGGCAAAGAGTGGGGTTAGCGGGGTGAAGTTTTCCAGGCAGAAGAAATTACATGTGCAAAGGCCCTGGGGAAGAAGAGGGCGTAATGATGTATGTTGGAATTCTGAAAGTTCTCTCTCCTTTTTTGTTTGCCTTTTTCTCCTTTAACACTCTTTCTCGTTATCTTCTTTCTGCTCCCTTCACTCTTTTTTTCTTCCTTACTTAGCTTTTCCACTTCCACTGTGTAGATTATTTAAATCATCTGATAATGTTTGTTTAAAAATATTATGGCTCTTAATTTTAGAATATGATTTT